AAAAAAAATGAATGGATGAATGGGTATTAATAACCATGGGTAAGTATTGTTCATAACAACTTTTATTTAATGAACCTGTGAACTTCCTGCATGTGTAGATAACTTGATTAAAATCCTGGTTAAGGGTTAGTGAAGTAGCACTAAGGCTATTGGGCTCAATTAACTAGAAAAAATGCACACACATACAAACACAAAAGTGATCCAAACAATACTGCGCACCGATAAAACCAAGTAAAGAAGAATCAAAACTGAAACATGCTTTTATTTTGACACCACCGATACTGACTAATTGAAGATTGTTAGAAATCCTCAATCCTTGTAGCAAATAGGCTTTTATTTTGAAAGAACATAAGAAAACCATGTCATTATTATTATTATTATTATTATTATTATTAATATTAATATTATTGACCACAACAAGTTTAAATCCATTTTGTATTCAGTCAAATATGTCGAGAGATCAACTAAATCACTGTTTTGATCTTTGTAATGTTGGGGAGACATCTGCTGGTGAAGAAGAGTATAACAACTCCTCTGGAGGAAATAGTAATTTTCCATTTATTAAAAATTAGTTAGATGCTATAAGAAGCAGCATGTTTTAATTACTATGGACTGAACAAAACAGAAAGAGTGCCGACACAGTGCACTTTATTTATGTTCTTACTTTTGTGCTTTTGGTCCAACATCTGAGACTTTTTTGTGCAGATTCGTGTGGACTCAGTGTGGGCTTTCTTTGCTGTTATATTAACATGTGTGTAAACTCAAGCGTTAAGGTGTAAATTAAGTTTATTTTACAGTCTCTCCTTCTCAAGTCCAAGTTATAAATGTGTTGGCACAGCTTTAAAGTGAAACTGCACCTGAAAACACATTGAGGTAAAATATAAGACAAACATGTAACCCCGTCTCAGCCCGGCATTAACAGTATGATGCTGTATCCTCAGTCCTGTGAGCCGGCAGGTTTCTTGATTCTCCGAATTACGACCCGGCTCCTCCTTCCACTGGGCCGACCTCCAGCACCATCCGCCTCCCCTGGCAGTGACCCTGGGGGTCGGGGTTCACCTCGGAGTGGTGCAGGGCTCCTCCCTAATCTCACATCGTCCACGAAAGCCTCCACTCCATCAAACTTGGTCGTGAGCTCAGCGAGACGCTCCTTCAGGGAGTTGAACTCTTTGTAAAGATCTCTCAGAGCTTCTGACAGAGGCTGGATCCTGAAAGAACACAAAGAAATTAAAGTGTTTTTTCCTCTCCAACAGTTTCAGTTTTATATTTCTTCTCTGCGCCCTCTTTTTTGTCTCTCCTCTTTCACCTCTTGGTTGTGGAAAGCAGTGTCCAAGTACATTAGTCCATGTAAGAAAAAGGCCTTGATGAGTTCATGGCCTCAGTCGCTACTTTCAAATCATACTGAACACCAAATGTTAATTTAAAGAAAAAAAATTGTGGTCACATTTAGAAGAAAAGAAACAAGAACATTTGCATTTTGTTTCTACTTTCTATATTTGTGTAAACCTGCTCAAATTAAAGCTGACCTTTTAATGTTACAGTTATTCTTTACATTTCGACTGACGCGCAAAGCCCGCAGACCCAGACTGATGTAACTGTGCCGCAGGAGACTTGGAAAACCTCACCTGCCATAGTCGGGCAGCACAGTGTTGTGGTCATGCAGCAGCAGATCTTTGACCTGCGTCATGATGGCGTATTTCCAGTTGTCTAAAACCAGCGTGAGGTTGGCACATCCTCTGGTGTTCACTCTCTCTGCTGCAGGTGAGCAAGCCAGGAGAACAAACTTTATTATTTTCTGCTTTTGAACTTATTACATCAGCAGCAACTGTACTGTACTGTACTTCATTCATACAGGTATCATGAATTATTTTAACCTTGTAGAAAAAAGTAAAAGAAGTAAAAAAAAAAAAGTGGGAGGGAAGAGTGGTGGGGAAGTCAGTGCAGAGCTGCAACTAATAATAGTTTTATTTTTTTTTAACTTTCTTTTTATTGTTTTTCTTTAAACACTATACAACAAAACAAAACAACAACAAAAAGATAAATACAACAAGTAGGATAACAAAAAACAAACAAACAAACAAACAAAACAAACATGTTGGATCTCTTTGTTTCTACAGTTTGATCATTTCTCATTATCAATGTGTTGGTCTTCATCCTGCTGGGTTTATGTACTCAGTCCATTTCTCCCACTTTTTATGGTATTGATCTTCCTGAGTCCTTATTCTGTAGGTCATGGTTTGTATTTCATCTATAATTTTGATCCATTCGTCCTGTGATGGTGGGTCTATCTTGT